TGTGACGGACCCAAGCCGTTCTGGGCACAGCTGAGGGCGTCTGCTCAGGGCGAATTGCTCAAATCCGGGGCTCCTTACAGCCCCCAGACTGGTGACCTCTCCAAACAGGCCACAAACCAGTCTCACAGAGCGCTTCAGCTGCCTGCCTGAAGCCTCACGAGCAAAACCCCTCCGACACCCCAGCAATATCCGTGCCCCAGATGGCCCCGGGCCTATACACAGGTGGGGGGTCCTAGCACCCAATCCCACCTACCCCGAACAAGTTCTGTCCGGTTCCAAGAAACCAGCCACGGTCCCTGGTCAATTTACCCTTGTGTCACGGGCAAAGGGCCTTCGAAGGCAACTGCCCACGCACCAGCAGGCTGGCTCCCAGCCGTTCAGCTCCAACGTGGACAGCTGTACTTTCACCCCCACCATTCAACAGTCCCACAAGGCTCCCTGGCGGGTCTAAAGCGCCAATCCCAGGATGGAAACGCAGGTTTGTGCTCCCATCCCTTCGTTTAGACGGTGCTGAAGCGTGAAATGACACCGCTGTTCCTGGTCAATTTCTACCAGTTACTACGGATTTACACCTGGCACCTCCGCTGTTCTCTCAGGGGCTTAGGAATTCAAATGAGAACGCCCTGGGGTCTGTACAGGTCAGGCTGATTCGGACGCCCCCTCTGTCATCCCGAGAGACGCCACTTCAGGCAGCAGGCCCCTCCCCGCCCCCCAGGGAACTGGCCAATGTGTCCACATCCAAATAGGGCCCCCACCCAGACTGGCTGGCAGCTCCCCGCCTGGCTCCACTGCCACCCCCCAGCCGGCCTGCCGCGGCCCAAGGCCCCCCAAGGCTCCAGGGGCTCTGAGTCCATGGCAGCTGGCTGCCCTGGAAGGGGGGCTGCAGGCCCTTTGCCATGCTCTATGGGGCTTGCTCCAGATGGAATGGAACCAGACTCCAGAGCATCAGCGTGTGCCAAGGGGATCGCGGCCCCTGCCCTGCTCGGCAGGGGAGCACTGGTGGGGTCTGCTCACAACCAGCTCCTGATCATGGCCACATGGTGAGTGACCGGCGCCGCATGAGGACCGGTCGTCCCCTTTTACAGGGGCCAGGCCTGCGATGGCCGCTCCCTTGCCTGGGCTCGGGGTGCCACACAGGACACCTCCCAGCCCCACAGAGCAGGGGGGAAAGGAAGCTGCTCCACCTGGTGGTGTGTGACGGACCGGGCCGTGTCTGGGCACAGCTGAGGACGTCTGCTCAGGGCGAATTGCTCAACTTCGGGGCTCCTTACAGCCCCCAGACTGGTGACCTCTCCAAACAGGCCACAAACCAGTCCCACAGAGTGCTTCAGCTGCCTGCCTGAAGCCTCCCGAGCAAAACCCCTCCGACATCCCAGCAATATCCGTGCCCCAGATGGCCCCGGGCCTCATACGCAGGTGGGGGGTCCTAGCACCCAATCCCACCTACCCCAAACAAGTTCTGTCCGGTCCAAAGAACCCAGCCACAGATCCCTGGTCAATTTACCCTCTGGACCTTACCCACAAATCACGCTGGGCCAATCCTTTAGAATCTAACATCTAAAGGTTTATTGCTACAAGAAAGAAAAGCATGAGAGTGAGGTTTCTAAAGTATCATTCATTACAT